TAAAATTTGCAAAGCCAAAAAAAAAAGTGTGGGAGGGGGACATAAAACATGCATGTGATCATGCATTAAAAAAACAATCTAAGTTGTTTAAACAGCATTTTTAAGTTCACACTCATACAGCTCAAACTTCAGTGCAATGGCTAAATCATTCAACAGTCAAAGAACAGAACCATGCAAAGAAGAGCAAGTTCTTAAAAAAAAAACAACCAACCAACCAACCAAAAAACAAACAACGACAAAAAAACCCAACAAAAACCCCACCAAAACAGAAAAAACCAACAACCCCCCCAAAACCCAAAACAAACAAACACCCCCCCCAAAAAAAACCAAAAACAAAACAAAACAACAAAAAAAAAAAAAAAAAAAAAAAAAAAAAAAAAAAGGAAAAGGAAAGAAAAGGGGGGGGGGAAACCAAAAACCAAACAAACAAGCAAACCCCAAAACCAAAGATTGTTATCCAGTATCAATTCTGCAATGCAAAGGTGAGAAACTAAATCTACAAAAAGGCTGTTATGGCTTAATTTTGTTTTGCAGATTAATAATGCAGCACTTGAAAAATGGAAAGGTGTGGCTTCACCTCTGACCAGCAGAGTTAAAAATCTCTCCATTTTCCTTTATCATCATGGGATACTCTTTAGGCAATCTAAATTATTAAAGACTTGCCACTTTCAGATGGACACAAGATCAAGTGTACCAGTTAGGATTTCACATTCACAGTACATAAGAAAATACACATGGAAGGAAAAGTAAAGGGTTAACTTAACAAGGATTTATTCACAGGAATACATGTAAGTAGAGAAAAAAAAACACAACAGAAAAGCTAAACAAATGAAATGAAGAGGATCCAAACCAACTTTCACTCTCTAGCTTTAAACTTGCACCCTTGTGCATTTAACTATATCACAAAGGGCCACCAACATGCGCCGATACCGTGTAGATACCCTGCATTACATCAACTTAAACATCTCTTTAAGATCATGCTTTGAACAAAAAGAAAGTGTAGAAGGTAATACGTTGAGTGGGAATCAACACAAATGTAGCAATCTTGTCATCAACTTCTACAATTGTCTTTACGTGCCAACTAACATTTATGCAGCCTTTAACGGGTCTTACCATGTAATTCATTTTAGAGATTCTGATAAAATCACTAGGATATAACCATGCAGAAAGCACATCACACTGACAGCACAGAGGCAAATATTTTGCACAGCTATATCAGCTTTCCACATTGTGCAGGTTACACACAATACAATATCAATCTTATTCTTAACAGATCCTAAAAAGGTATTTCAAGGCCTAATTTAACGTTAACTACAGTACTTTATATCTATATTCTTAATAAAAATAAATTCCACAGAATCTTAAAAAGGAATTTTAAATGCAGGGCTATATTGAATTGGTAAACTGCAACACAAAACTGGCGCAACATAGGTAAATGTATACCAATTTCACTCTATGTGATGCAAGCATGCTACTTTCCCACTAATTAAAATTACTTCTGATCACTATGAGCCAGAACGCATGCCTGAACCTTAAACTGCAAGTTAAGAATAATGCCTTACTCTAGAAATTAAAGCTAAAAACGTACAATAATAAAATCATATCCACTACCTTGGTTGTTTTCCTTAATGTAAAAATTAAGATGTCAATCTTTCCTTTGCAGTGTCCTTCCCCTTACCCCAAAACATGAAAGGAGTGACTTATTTGGCAGCTTGCAGTTGCTTCATTTTGTCCAAGTTAACCTTTATTATTTTACGATGGGGTTTTTATGCTGTACACTGCAAGTGCCTGTTCCTAATACAGACACAAGCTGCATTTTAACTGTACTAACTTCGTTTGCGTAGTTCATTAACATGCAAATACCTAGTAATCCCCTCAAGCAGGATGAAATAATGTAGAAAACCCTTACTTAAAAAAAACAGAAAAAAAAGAAAGCCTTTTACTGTTTGTGACCCCCATTCTTAGGTTTCCTTTATTGTGCGCAAAATATTTTTCCTCTTTACGTATCCCTATGGTTCAATTATATGGTTACTTATTTTGGTACAAATCCCCACAATATTCCAGAATGTGCTGTTTTGTGACTAGATTCTTTTTTTTTTTCTTCTTCACATCCAGTGCAGAGGTGTAATAGGAGACAGATTTCCACCCACAAAGGCTCCAGATGTTAAAACATTTCCCAACATCGACTTAATACAGTGACGGCAACACCTCCCTCCCGCCCCTCCCAGTAGGGTTGGGATTGTACTGTATTCCCTACTGGTTTACCCTTCCCCCCAGTAAAGGGTAACATTTTCCCTGGGTGCAGAGGCTCCCTCATAGTCTCCCAGACTGAAGGACCTGTAAAAGGAAAAGATAAAGGTATAATTAAATCTTACCTTGACCCTTTGACAGGTGGATAAACAAAGGGCCTTTTTCAAGCAGTAAGTGCCAACTGTTAACTTCAAAATTAATTTATGCCTAGAGTTTCCTTTTTAAGCCTGCTAAGAAAGAAGCCCGTTTATGTAAGATAAATTATTATCCATGAAACAACAATGTATGCTTTTAAGCTACATTGACAGTTCCCCTACTGTGCTAAACTTAGATTTACGATAAAAGCAGTCCTATATATTTTAACCAGCTTTTCCATTTTTTAGCACAAAATTATGAGGTAGTTATGACATTGAGAAAGTATATTACACGTATCTGCTACTGACCTAACAGCTTCCCTTTTAGGTGGATTAAACAAGATAGTTTCTCAGTTCAAACTGAGAATAATGGTGGATTTTATCACTTTGGCTTCCTCTTCAATAGGAGGAGAAGACACCCTTATGTTAGAACTAAAACACCCTCACTAATAATAAATATATAAATGTTTGAAATGGTTTTATTTTTAATCCATTGTTTGGATCAAACATGTAATTCAAACAGGATTTCTTATGTCAGTGACTGAAAAAGCTTAGGCTAACTTTTAAATAGTTATCCATTCCAAAAATAAAACAACTGCATGACTCACCCCTGTAATTTCAGTGCAAAAATTCTACTAGAAGTATCAAATCTGTATAAAGACTAAGTGAATCAACTTAATTCACCCTCTTTTTTTGGGTAATATAATAATCTCTTCACAGTATCACACTACTTTACACATGGGAAATTTGCTTAATACATCATGCACAGACAGCATACAAAGCATGGTGGAACAATAATACAGCTATTCTAAAATGCACTTTCACTGCTCTTTGTTGAAATTGAATCATTCTCTACACAGAACTGCCTAACAATTCTGAATTGGTGCACAAAACCGGAACATGGCAATAATAAACACATTAGCCTCCCCAAAACATCATGCTTTACAGTTACAGTAATTATACATTAGCATAACATCCTTTATTCAGTGCAGAAAGCATTGAGGATGTAGTTCAGAGTATACTGGACTTCACATAGCTCCAGTGCATTAACGAACTTGCTTTCTATCCTAAGGAATATTCCTGCTTCGACTACATCTGCCACCTCTTAATTCATAACATGTAAGGGAGCCTGTGTCTTTAGTATGATAACTTCACAATCATATTCATCACTCTGCTTATTAAACTTGAACCAGCACTTTGTTATACCTATGCTTCCAACTTTATCTCGATAAAATAATGTGTGTATGATGCACTCACTTTTTCTTTCTTTCTCTCTCTGTAACAATAAAAAAAGTCAGCTGCTTTTGCTACAGCCTCCATCATTTAGGTATGCTATCATACCTTCTTTTTTTCCCTCTCCATAGGAAGGAAAGATATCTCCTCCCGTGTGTCTGAACAATTCTAGATGGATGAATTAATTATATTTCATATAATGCACACAGGGAGAAAGTATGTTGTACAGATCTGTTTACCAAGCAAGATTTCTGTGCTTACCTCTAATTATGGGACTGCAGCTACAGTGCATGAGGTTAAACTCCATAGTAAGCTGCAAGGCGCTCTTTTAAGGGAAGAGGAAACTGGTCAGAGAAACGCCTCCAATTCTCATCCCCAACTTGATTTTTAAATCCATGAAGAATCTACAAATGAGAAGGGAGAAGTCAAGATAAGCACTAAATAGAGGGTATATTATTTACTAGCCTCATATGCAGTAAGCCACAAATTGCTGAGTTGTATATCAGGCAATCTGAATTCCCTGATTTCATACTGAAATGCTATTAAGAAACAAAGGAAGTATTCTCTTTCTTAACGTGTTTTTTCTTTTAAAGGTGACATATAGAATATAGCTACCCCCACAATATGTGTGTGTATACGTATATAGTATTTTAATGGGTAACCTAGATTTAGGCCATTTCAGAATGTCTATTTATAATTTTTTCAATTCATCACTCATTCATCCATTTGTTCAGTCAGTCAGGCAGTCAATCAGTCACTCAATTGACATAGATCATACATGTTAAGACTACCGTGTTCACATTTCTTTTTTAAATGTGTAGGATGTTATGGAAAGAAAGCTGAGCCAAAACCGCAGCCAACATTTGACAAAATGAATATCTGTCCATTTTTAGCACAAAAATAAAACCTGTGAGAGCTCTGTTTGTTGCATGGAACCTGTAAGACAACTGTCACTAAAAAGGAAGCTCTTGAAATCTTTTTTGTTTTGCAAGTACAGGAATCCACATTCAATGGTAATCAAAAGCCAGTGAAAGAGGAAAAACAATAACCTACAGGTTTCAGTCTGGATCTTCTGATGTAATAAATTATCTGAAAACCAATAAATTAAATTCTACTATCGGAAAGGTCTTAGTATGTTAGCTCTTAGAACAACAAGTAACAAGTGAATATTAGAAAGGACAAAAGTAGATGAAATTACTTTTCCTCATAGAAAATTATGCAAAGAGAACCTAAAGTTTTGGTTTTCTTTTTTATATGCAGTGAAACTGAGTTGTGGAACAGTCTGTCCTGAACACATTCTCATAGAAATGGCAATATCAAAGTTATGTGCTAATGACATTATAGTGCCACCAGTTAACTTATTGCTTTTCTCCCTTCCACAAGCAGGTTCGCCTCTCCTTCCTATCCCAAACAGTCACATTCGCCAGCTGCCAAGCAACTACTGAAAATATAAGAATGCTCAGGTATGACAAAAGGTTATGTGTCAGATTTCGACACTGGTAGCTCATTTATCCATGCTCTTGAAAGTGGTATTTTTCTCCCAGTTCTAGTGGTAAAGAATAAAACAAAAAAAGAAACACTGGACAATCCAGTTTCTTTCCACTGTTCCTGAAACTCATAATTATTGCTGGAAAAACATCTAACTGGACTACAGCACTCATGTATTCATGAAGAAGTAAACTAAAACCCCTGCATGCCATGACTGAAGAAAGCTTTGTCTCCTTTCCTGCAAGGCAAAAAGCACAAAAATACATTAAAATTGCTTGCTTTAAAAAGCAAAGGTGTCCTTATGCCAAGTGACTAAGAACCTTTGTGTCTAGTTTGAATGCTGTGGGTGCTACATGGACAACTTGGAAAGAATCTAAAAAAGAGGAGCCTAACTTACTGAAGCAAGTATTCGATGCTGAAGGACTGGTACAGAAACACACACTGAGACTGCTTTGGGCAATCATCATAGGCTGTATCCTGGACTTCCTTTTCACTTGCATTTTTCACAGCATTCCTTCTGCTGATGCATTTTCTAGATTTAACATTCCTTGGAAGGAGACCAGTTATCTGAGAGGCTAACTAAGACAGTCAGATTTCTGTCTTTTCTCTTAAAGATGGGATAGAAAAGTTCTAGCTTCTGTTTTCATGCTCACACATGGCATTAATCGAAGAAGACATGCCAATACTGACCCATGATCCTAGTAAGTTTTTAGGAATATGCTCCATTTTTTCTACAAGGGTATCATGAACTTTTCTTTTAAGATAGCACTTCCTAAAAATCGAGATTTCACTTTAGAACTTCTGAAGGGAACCACTTTTTTTCTCTCTCTCTTTTTTAATGTAAGACATCAGTGCAAAAATACAATATATCACATTCTGGTTGTGCTGGTGGATTTGTAGTTTAGTGGGGGGTTTTCTGCTTTGTTCTTTTGGTCCATTTGTTATTTTTTTGGTTTCTTTTTCTTATTAAATACAGGGAAAACAGTCCTTCTGCTTAAACTCTGTTGATACTTTGTCAATAGGGATGCATTCTTGGGTATAACTGTATGTTTGTTTGTTTCTTAAAACCTGCTCACCCAAGAGGGATTCTGAGGAGGATTAAGCAATCCCTTATTTTCAGCAAAAGTAAGAGAATCAAACAGAATACCACCAGGATATTTTTAATCCAAAATTTTCTAGATATTTCTTCAAAATAAAATAGGCATCTTTGTGACAAAAAGTAGTCTTGAACCATAAAGATCTCATTTTCTAGAAAAAGAAGTCTTAAATGTAGTATAGAACCCCCTGTTCTTTCAAACGCAGGACATTATGAAAAGCTGTTTGAGGATGATTATCCCTTCAAATAACATCTCAAGTGAACTTCTTAATTTTAAAAAAGTTAGGAATAACCCAAATGCATATAAGAAAATATAGGTTAAAAAATATAAGAAAATAAAGGTTAAAAAAACAGTCAGGATTTTCATGTTGTTTTGTTTGAAAATGTATGACCTTGCATGACCACAGGGGGCAGAGAGGCCTCCATGACCAACACAGTAAATGCTACAGAAAGAAACAAACAAACCAGAGGATGCAGAACAACCACCATTAGAATATACTGTTATATTAGAAGATTTACCTTACAGAACATGTCTCGAAGATCATCTTTTGGACTAATCCATGATGCAACAGCATCACAAAAAAAAATAAAGTCCTATAAGATTAAACAATCACATAGGTTAGAAACCTCAATTTATACATTTGAAAACAATATTTGATGTTTATTCTGTGAACTGTACAGGGTCTTTGATCTCAATTCACAACTGCTTTTGCTTTTATCTATTTATTTTTCCACTTAATTCAGACAATGCTGTGTTCTTGTATGCCTAATTGTTCAGAAATAGAAATTGCTGAGTGTCTTAAGACCACAGTTAAAAAACCTCAACTCTCCCCTCCTGCATCACACTGGCCTAACATTTCTTTCAGTACACATACAAATGCAAGAACCAATCACCTTAGTAAGAAGGAACAAATGCACACTTGCACATTTCCAGTTGGGGAAAAAAGGTGTCATATTGCTTTAAGCAGAGCCAGAAGTTTTATTCTGGGATACAGGTTCAAAACTAAAGCCACCTCAAAATCCCTATGCTTAGTTCATCTGCTGTCATGCATTACCTCCTCCTACACCAACAAAACACCAGTCTTTAATAATTATGTTAACAATGCACATGATTTCAGTAGGAATTGAGGATAATGACTACAGAGGAGAGATGGGCTAATCAAATGTGTCCTGAATTACTCCCTCCCCTTAAGCTACATGAATGAACAAACAGACAGCAGAAGAGTGAAATGTTAAGTACAGAATAAGGCACCAGTGAAATGAACTGAAAATTACAAAACAAGATAGAGGCTCAATTCTTGTGTAACTCCAGGTAGAGGAGAGGGAAAAATCAGTTCCATTTTCCTCTTAGAAAATATTACATTGATACAGCTTTACTGTAGAGGTGTAGAGACAAAATATCAAGTCATACTGTGTTCTTCAGTTGTACCATTTAATTTAAACATATGCATGTTCAGTGTCCACATTGACTATTTAAGTAATCTATTCAAAGTTGAAACAGAATCTTCTCTACCCAAGTTTTAAGAATGGTTACTGTTTTTTTCTGTTTCTTGTTTTAAAAGCCTAGCTTGCCTCTGGAAAATAGGTTTCATAGTGTCAACTTTCACCTTATATTTGCATCCAGATCCTGACCACAACCTGCCAGAAGTATCAAAATACAGTTATTTTAATCGAAGTTCATTACTTATATATTCGCTGCAAGGAAAAGACAAAAACTGACTTTTACAATACTCTCATCCTTTCCTTTTCAGATGATAATTACTGAAGCATCATGATATGTATCATTCACAATATAAACATTTTGGCCTCCTTGACCTCAAAATAAAGCTACATCATGCACTGCAGGGAATCACATCAAGGTAAACCTTTTCATACTCCATATACAGCTTTCCTTAAATTTTAAATAGGTAAGAAAAGAAGTTAGTATCTATTAGTGTATCTTACTTGGACTACTCCACTGGGGTTGACCGTAATCATGGTACATATCCCACGGAACGCTGAATCCTTTTCCTCGTTGTCTCTTATGTTTCTCAGAGAGGTGCACCTGACAATTTGGAGAGCAAAACTTAGCTAACTCTATTACTTTCTTCATTCAAGTCAGAACTAGATGACAGTATCTGATGGAATAAGTCACACTGATAAGATGATCTGAAACACAATTTTGAACACTTAGAAAAACACTTCTTCCACGTAGTTTTTACTAGCATAATCCCATTAGGTTTCACCTCCAGAATCTGGTTTTTCTGTTACACTATATACAGTTAGAAAGTGTGACCTGTATTCCATTAAATACAAAAGAAACATGTATCTGAAATATTTATAGAAGCTATCATTATTAGAAGCGGAACATAAAATACTATCACAGTATGAATTATGTCAGATACCACTTACAGAACAGTTATTTAACTTTTACAGCAGCAAGCAAGCTATTTTATACGTAACAAATCTATAAACATATATTCCTTAAAGCATTTCAAGCCTCAGACTGAATTTTAAATAATGCATTGTTTAAATTTTACAGTATTTGCATGCATTGTATTATCATTCTGGTGGATTTTAAAATGCTCTTTCATAGTCAAGCTTTAACACAGCAAGCATGTGACAATCTTATCCCATGCATAAATTAGTCATTAGCCACAACATAAAGAATACATGACGGTGCTACTAAAAACTCACAAACCTGATAGGACAAGATTAGTCACATGGTTGGCAATGATTAAGGATTGAGATTTTGTAACCAACTGAAAATATATCTAAAAGTGAGATAGAGAGAAGAAGGAAAGAAAGAAAGAGAGTGAAGAAAAATGAATTAAAAAAAAAAAGATTGAATAATACACACCAGGGTCTTATAAACTGCTGTAGCATGGGGGCCACCTCTTGAGGACAAACGTAACCAAGACGACCAATTGTTATTGCTAAGGTAACGCAATCACGGTTATACACCACCAAACGCCAACCAAGACATGAGCAAATGAGGGGGGAGGAGAAAAAATAAAGAAAAAACAACAAATAACTCAGAAACAGAAACCAACAGAATCTGTGTATGATAATAAACATAAGATTTCACCAGTGCTTGTTTATTACCACCCCCTAAATAAGAGGCAGCAACATATATGGTATACTCTCCAGGGAAAAAGAAAAATTAAAGGAGTAAATGAGAGAACACCAAAAACACAATTTTAAATCCAAAGGCCTTCTGATGTAAGCAGTCGTTCTGCCCTCTTCAGAGTAATCTTTTGCAGTAAATTTACCTACCATACATTCGAAAGTTTTTATTCAAATATACTATTACAGCTATTTTTGATAAAAAGAAATCAACCATTTTCAGTTTTAGTATCAAGTGTTCTAAACATTTTATTTTTTTCCCAGGTTTTGAATTCAAGGTTTTAATAGATTCCATCTATCAGTAAAAATACATGCATAAATACTTTTACATGGAAAATATTGTGATCTGTCTGAAAATTCTAAACAGATGAAGCACTTCTCAAAAAGCACAAAATATTTATCTTCTTCATAATCTCATAGAGAATTTAATTAAAAATGGTTGCTAATTCACAGCAACTGACTGCAGAAAATGAATTCTTTAATCTCAGTATTTCTTCTGTTCACAAAAGGTTACCTCATAGATGTATAAGAATCTGACTTCTGATACCAAAGCATAAGGACACATGAAAAGCAAAATTGTTTCATCACATGATTAGACAGTTTGGTTCATTGTTCTGAGGGACAGACCAAAGAAAATATCATCATGCAAATGTGTTTTAATGGTGTTTGCTCAACTCACGGAAGATTAATCTTTAGAAAAAGGAGAGGGTGGGGAATAATGTATCAGGATTACTGGAAGCAAAATACATGAATAATACTAAAATCCAGCAGATTTGTATGAAGCAGAGAAAGGAAACCTATGTTCAAGGGACATACTATGCAACACTCTAATTTACAGGCATTTGTGAACAGTTTCATGAAACATGCAATAAAGCAGATGATGCTTTCTCCAATAAAAGTTTGGTGTAGGATATACTAGTCTGAAACATATTAATTCCATGAAAGCTGCAGCTCCCTGTTAATATACTGTTTTGCCCTAATGTTACTCAATTTCCGTATGCAGTGTCTTAAGATTTTTTTGCTATCTTATAAAACTGCACTTGCAGTTCAAATGAAAATACAATTTTATCTGTAAATTCTTACAGCTACAGCCTGTACAAGGAATAGTAATCTCTATCAAAGTGTGTTCTCATAATTGTTTTCATAATTAATTACATAGCAAGCTACAGCAAAGCCAGTAATTTTCTTGCACATATTAGTGGCACACAGTAAAATATCCCACAACAAACGTATAATAAGTACACCACACTCAACATTTATTTGCAGTTATCCATCCACATTTAAAGGAACTATTAAGAGAATAATAAATAAATAAATAAATAAATAAATAAATAAAAGAAAGTTAAGTGTTTGGATGCTTCCAAAAATTCTCTTAGCAATGATGGAAGCAAACATTTAAGTATTGGATGCTTCTCAGTTACAGGTATTACACATCCATCAGTGCAGAGGAAGGAAGTCAGGACAGGGGCAGGGGTAAGGAAAATTTATATTTTTATACTATTCCATGGTATATTTCACAACAAGTAGGTATTTACTCCAAAAACTACATTTTCAAAAAGTAGTACCTATAATATGCCATACAACTAGGTAATTTTTCCTTCAACTTCACCTTCCATACTAAATGGGGGTTAAGGAGCAGAGAAAGTGCAGCTTGTAAGTTTAGAGAATACTGGAGGAAAAATATGCAAGGAAAAATCTCTTTCCAAATTATCTCTTGCTTTGCTCAAAAAATATAACTGTACCATTGTATTTGCATCATTTTCAATCATGTCAGATATAATAACTAAACTGTTATTTTCTTACAGTTTTCAAACTGTAAGATGAAAAAATAAAATTCCTAATTAGTAAAATAGTAAACTGTAAACCAATCACATTATTAATAAATTTTTCCTAGAGTATGGAAGGTGCTTGTTATACCAGAACATGCCCTCTATAAATGCAAAAGAAACAAGCCTCAGAGATTTCGATTCAGTAAGGTATTTGGGGATTGCTCCCAATTTGGAATTCAAAGCTATGTACCAGAACATAAAATATGCATGCCATTATTCTTTTCAGAAATTTGTTATTAAGTGACCAGGTAACAGAAATTAAATATAATATAATTTCAGTTACATTGTGGTAAAACTGCCATCATAGATCTAGATTTTTATGTATGATATTACAATTTTATCTTAAAATAAAAGACTGCATTTTTTGTAAATTCAAAGAGTTCATTATTTGTTTTATATATGCCAATGAAATTTGTTTCCAACACTAGACATATATATACAGTACACATGTAAGGACATGTGTATATCAAAATCAGTGAGAAATAAGTCTTTAGGGGTTACTGCATACATTTGTCATACTTAATAAGTAAATAAAAGTGGAAGAATAATTACACAGACTATAAATAGATATAAAAATGTTATAAAAGGAAAAAACAATGACTTTTAGAATCTAGATATATGATATGCTGCAAGACTGAGACTTGTAAGAGCTTCTGCAAAACAGAGTTGCTTTTGCTTATAAAAGCCAAATACATAGCAAAAAAGTCAGTTCTGGTGTGGTTCCCCTATGCAATTTTAAAAACGATTATTAAAAAAAATCTCTAATTTCCTTCACCATGTACAGTTAATTTTTTGGGTACCTGTGTTCTCTAACAACGTCTTTGGTGTGTTGGGTCTGTTAATTATTTCTACAAGCTGATGCAACACCATTGGAATATAAGGCTGCATCTCTATACCTGAAACAACAATGAAAAAAGATTCAGAAGAAAACAACCATTAATATCAATAATCTAAACAGAATGCATACCCCCCTGAACTTACTAACAAGGACAAGGATTTCAAATATAATTTCAATTTTAACATGAAATAATCACTAAAAAAAAACCACCCCAAAATGCCCAGACACATGCTAAATGTGCACAGACTAAAGAAAAAATTAAATCTTACCCATCTGGATAGAGATTTCTCCAATTGCCCAGGTGGCATTGTTACAGACAGAAATGAATTCAGGGTTTAGGTTGGTTCCCAAAATTGGCATGAAATCAGCTAGAAAGAACAACATTTTAAAATCTCATCACACAATACAACCATCTTGTCCCATTAGTGTTAGATCAAGGGTGGGGGGGGGAAAGGAGTTTAAGAAAAAGACAGTGTAAGCCTATTTAAATGCTTGGAAAGTGTTACTTGTGAATTAACAAGAGCTATATTTCTGCTATATATCAGATTAACCTGGAATTTAGAACCTAAGCAGTTCAATGCAAATCTTTTCAAATTATGCTTTTAAAATCTTTCTAAAAGGCTTTATCTTTCTGTAACTCTAGAAATCCTTTTCCCGTCCTTCCCTTGCTTAGGTGGGGGGAGAGGGGAACAGAAGGAAAAATCACAGCTACAAGTATTTGTGGTTTTATAATATGGTTGAACAACTTCAAATCATCTGAATAGCTGTGTATTCACCCATGGTTGATAAAACAATGAAGACTAGAAGGCAATCACATCTTTGATTAAATTTTAAGAAAAAATGAGTCACAAAGGTAATGATAACATCTGCCAAATAAACTTTAAATTCCAAACCTATTCAAGCATTCATTTGGCAAGTGTATCTTAACTATATCTGTGGGAAGAAAGAGCAAATATCATGGAAGTCTATAACTGATGCTACTTCCCTACTAAAATGAAAACAATGCAAAGAATCAAAGGAAAACCTATCCTCTAGCCAAGTTTTTTGATTTATATATTATATATAATTTTCCATAATAATAGAGTCTAGTAGAACAAAAAAAGCTTTAAAAATAAAGGACAAAGAAGAATTTTTGCACTGTCTAAAAAAATAGGACCATGTCTTCTAAATGTACAATTCAAAGGACAAAAGACCACAGACCATTGTTGATAAAGGAAAATTACAATGTCCAATACCATGAAAAGGCAACCCACAGAACAGGCAGGGAGCTTAACAATGGCTAAACTAACATTTTAGGAATTTGTAAAACAAGTAGTTTAATACTAAAAGAAACATACCGATGCAAGGTTTAACATGCTGAAAACAGGCCTTTGTCAGATCCCCCAACAATGCAAAAGAACTCTGCCGTACCTCAGGCATTTTGTCCTGAAGAGAGGAAGACAAAAATTACAATTCTAGAAGAGTTTCTGATTCTCCGAATAAAGAAAATCTTTGGATCAAGTAGATGACTCATCTCACCTGCATGCATTGGTACATTAGTGTCAGGATATTGCTGCGAGCCACTAGCTGTTCAATGTTGCCTCCAAGTCCTTCAGCTAAACCACTGAGTAAATCAAGAGCCACAATCATGAAATCTTTATCTGGAGCCTCGTATTGGTCTGGCTGAGCATTATGTAACTGCAACAAATAAGTACACATTTTCAAATTATATTAGATTTTCTCAGGGGTATGCATAAAAAAAAGTTTCCGAACTGCACATTCATTTAGATATTGAATCTCCCTGCAAACCTGTAATTTTATACAGTTAATACATTGGTCTAGCAAAGAAACATTGGAATAGTCACAGAAAAATACCATGGCTTGTGCAAGTGTCTTCTGCACCAGATTTACACAACGCTGGTACACAGGTTCACAGTATGGAAGAAAGCCAGATTGCAAGGCAGTAGCAACTGACGACAGGCACTGGAATTAAAAAAAAGAAGAAACAGAAAACAGTCACTACCTTTCCTCACATTCCTGAAGTGCCTTTTACTCGGGAAAGGTAACTTAAAAGATATTAGGATTTTAATTACACCAATATGTAACTGATTAAGTAAACACAGCCTAGAAAGGCAGTACTGGTTAGCTGAGGCAAGGCAACTATCAGCAAGTTATTACTCACTCCTGTACACATCAGTTGAGAAAATTTCTCAGCAGCAGCATCTTCTTAGAGGTAGCCAAGAAAATGCATACAAAACCAGTTACAATAATTTCAGACAGCACTTACACTAAGCTGCAGTATCTTGACCATGAACAAGCCCTAATATTACCTAAGAGTTACAAAACTAATTTTCTAGAGGTGTTTTCCTGCTTCACAGTCAGAAAGTACAGAGAATAAGACTACATGGTCTGGTTCATACCTTCAGCTTGTCTGACAAAAGTTTTAATGGAGGGATGAAGGGAGAGCAAGGAGAGAGAAGACAAGAATAAAAGCAGGATAAAACATTTTTTTCCCTAAAATAATCCTATCAAAGAAAATACTCCAGAATGGCAAAAAAAAAAATCTAAAAGATTTCTGCTAAACCTAAGGACAGTTCCTCAGTCATAAAATTTTCTTACTATAGTCAGAATATTTTATTCATAATGGGAAATAGCTAACACTGTCAGATTTTATAGTCATATTTCCTAGTAGGAACCTCTTTAGTAGAAAGTATAATTCCTAAATAAGTTGACTAAAAATATCCAATTTTTAACATTTACCTCTAATAAAGGGAAGAGATCTTTATCTTCATCCTTCAACATGTTCCACTTCTGGATTAATGGAGGCATTAGCATCTGAATATACTCCTGTTTGGGATGAAAATGCATGAGCTGCTAAAATACTTAACTGCATACGATTTTATTTCAAGTTAGGTAGGAACTGAAATACATTCTACTTCAGAGAAAAAAAACCCCTGATGTACTGTATTTCAATCATTGTTGCAATTCATAGAAGTATTTTTATATTAGGATTTACAATTTATGCCTTGATATTTTTTGCTAAAGCATATAAATACCTTTGGAAAATCCCTTCCTGCAAGTTTGGTTTGAGTATATCTACCTGGATTATTGAACTTTAAGTGACTGCCTCAGGGTCTAAGAAAACATTCTGGCTCCGCATCTGCCACCAGCTTTTCTCAGCCATCTTGCTCTGCCCTGATGCTACAACACTATTCCCCCAAGTTCTGAAACTTCTTCCTCAAGCAACTAACTATCCCTGAAGAAAGTAATTTCCTATGCCTCCAGAAGGAGGCAGTTACCCCTTCTGCATAAAGCTGGCTTCCCTGCCATTGCGCAGCCACAGTCACAAGGACATTGAGCAAGGCATCTCTATAGTGCTGTTGCTCCCAGAAGGTATATGAAGAGCCAACACATATTGCTATGCCCAAAAATATAAAATTCGAACTGACTAATGAAAGTCACATCTTCCTCAGGAGCTACCATTTAGCTTCCTCCTGGTACTGTCAAGGTGGCCAGGCTCAGAGAGACACTGAAAAACAGGTCTTTGATGGTGTGGGGTCTCAGATGGCAAGTAAAATGACATAGAAACAACTAAAATTGTTTTTATCTGGGGTGTCTATGTCATTTGAAGCACTACAGAGAAATAAAACAAGTTTCAACAACCATCATAAGATGCAAACATGTGACAGGTATATATCTTCAGCTAATTAATATATGTACACTAAAAAAAAAACCCTGTTACATCTGTCTTTCTGTTATCTGTGCTTTGACCATAGGATTCTGTGTTTTTATATAAAAAAAAATGCCTTTCTCACTCTGAAATAGCAATTTCTAGTGATGATGTGCTCCAATTCACTGGCAAGAGACATATACAGAGCAGCTTAGCTATAAAGCAGTTACCAAAAAAAAAGTGTGATCTATATTGATATGTGTATCTCCTCTGAGCTGAAAAATTCTGAACATGAGGAGAAAATCATGATGAAAAGCACATTTCACACACTATCATTTGTTTACTCAAAATGGCAAATATTTGTGTAGTGGGAAAATTATGTGCAGTCTATGTATTTTATCTGTAAATATTTAGTATTATTGAGACCTACATAGAAATATCAGCATTTCTGGTTTATAACATGCAAAGCACCCTACAAATAACACTGAACAAGTTTTTCAATTATGATGACTGCTTCTACAGAACATAAGGTATACTCACTGGTTTATTTAGATGATGTCCTACAGAATCTGCTAGAGTTCCTATAGCATCATAAAGAATGAGCAGGTTTTTATGCTGGTATTTACTAAATGCGAAGACCAAAGTGTCAAGTATATATGCAAGATAAGGAACAAGCTCTGTACAAGCCTCCTCTTCTAGAGTAGCAAAGGCACTGAGGGACAATAAAACAGGTCAGTTAGTATCTTGAAAAAAT